ATATATATATATTTGGAATTTCTCATAATTCCTTGACTATATGGTGTACTGTACATGGTATAAAGTTTCAAGTCACATCGGGAAAAATCAATTTTCCCGACATGCTCTAATATTTCTTTATTTGGAAAAATTTTGTCATTCTGATATCTTTTATTCAGAAGAGACGATCCTAGAAGAGTTCCATTTACGCAAGCAAATTTGGATTTTTTTATAAAAAGTCGCACTACACGATGCACGGCGTTACTTTAACGTTAAAAAAGTTAAAAAATTGAAATAAGATAAATTTTATGCAATAAGAAGTTCTCAACAAGCTTAAGTGCTACAGTGTAACATATATTTCAAAGTACAATTATCCGCAAAGGAAAGTACATGTATAAATCTCGCGTGGCGGTCAACGTGTCAAACAATGCAGAAATTTGTTCTACAATTTGTTCACCTTCAATTCTTAGATACTTTCAATTACTATCTGTCCCCGGCAAAGAGATCTGAGCTTTCGAATCTTTCAAATTTGAAAATTTGAACTTCCAGTCAGAATTACGATACTTTGCACAAGAATTTGTATGTATCGAACGCCACGCATACATGTGATTAATATAAACAAATAAAAATATCTATTGTAGCAATGAAATCGTCAAGTATCATAAGATCTGTATTGTGCTTGCTTCTCGCTGAGAAGCGAGAATGTTAATCCTGTTGAAGAAATCTCAGCGAGAAAACTTGTTGGCTGACAGCAGATGAACGATATCCAGACAGTCAACAATGCCTTTGGTTATTTTACGGATAAAGATTTACGGTTCGCGTATTATCCTTCCCTTGTAAAATTAGCAGTCAGTGTTGACTGTTGGAACGAACACCCTGTATATCGAAGATCGTCAGGCCGTTCGTTTTTAAATTGCGAAACCTGTTCCTGTTGAATGTTTCGCCGATAAAACCGACAGGTATTATTACTTGGGAAAATGATTGTCACACGTCTGCTACGTGCCAATCGCAATAACGTTAACAGCCAGTACTGTCGTATTATAACTGCGTTCCCCATTAAGCTGTTTCGTCGTGTAAACGGTCACTAGCCTTCGCTATATTGACGTTTAATCGTATGAAATTAATTGTAGCAGCTGTTCAGTCGCGCGAAATCCCGCGCGGAGGACTTTACGTTTTCATCGAGCGAATCATTTTACCAATCATATCGGCTCGATTATTTTCTCAGTCGATTCGACGTTTCGACGTCGATTCGCGACAGCCGGAGAACCTGATAATATTTAACTCTCTCGTGCCTTCTCAGGTTTACAATAAAAATATTTAGAGAGTTGTTAGAGATTCTTCCCTCGTCTAATTGTCTAAGATATTTTAATTGGTTGTTGTAGTAATAAGCATTTGAATACTACTGTTACTGCCGTTGTTAAGCATAGATAACTTGCAAAAAGTCATATTTATAAAGAAACTACATCGATCGATGGGTTAAAAGATATGTTATTCTTATATATAAGAAAAGTAGAAATGATCTCGAGATATCGGAAACATTTTTGCTTACAACGCTTGCTGAAACAGAATACCTTTCTGTCGAATAATTTTTTTCGTATCACTTTCCATTCTGGAGAAAATTAAATCTGTCATTTTCCTGAAGAATCATCCTGCAAATTACTTCTAATAATTCATAGCGATTTTCTTGTCCAAAGTATCTTAGTACATTGTGAATAAAAAAAAATGAACTTGTCTATCAAAAAATGCAAGAATTAACATACAATGAAATATTAAATTAACAATAAGTATGAAATACAGTTGCAGTAAGTGTATTTAAACTTTCAACTACTAGTGTATGTTAAATCCAAGCGTATTGAATCGTTTTCCTTTTGTACATTTTACGCCGGAATTTAAGCTAATTTGAATTTGCAATTAAATTAGGAATATCACCATTCCTTCTCTTGCATAGAGAATAACCAAGACTGATCCTGACGACCCAGGTCAGCTTTCGATTTATTTTTTCATTTTCCGAGTGCTCCGAGTGCTTTTATCCGAAACTGTGTTCGTTACACGATATAAAAAAGTGGGATTACTACTGACAACGAGTGAAAACATGCGGCAGAACAAAGAGAAGTGAAAGATCTTTGTTTAAAAAGTGACATGATTGTTTCGATAACGTCTGTTGGATCCGTAGAATTTTTAGTAGTCCCGACGCGAACGTCAGAGAGATATTTTTTGCAAGAGAGAAAGAACTCAGACTGTGCTTCGTTTCACTGTTTCAAAACGTAACTAACCTCTCTATTATGGCTCTTTTCTAACTGTATCTCCCTTGTGTGGCCAATTATATTTCATACACATTTATTTAAAGAATCTTAGATGTTTGAGAATATTTAACTTACATTAATTTGAATGGAAAAATAAGTTTTTTAAGTCCAATACGTTCACGTTTGCAAAAACAACGCGGCATCGATTGTGTGAGAAATCTGTAAAAATATGCGCATCGTTGTTTGCTGCTATATCGTGCTGGATGGAACAATCAATATATTGTACTTGCAAAGATAAATAAAAAAAGCGTAGAATAAAATTCTTCCGTTTAATTCTTCATGTCTGTTTTTGAACATTATAAGGAATTATTATCTTTAAATGGATTAAAAAAGCAGCATTTTTAATCGATTATACGTGAAGGGTTAAAATCTTTTTCTTTTCTTCGTTCTCGAGAAAATTAACTTTGAATGTGTCAAGAGTTGTTGATCTAGTATATTTGAGAAATAAATCAAAGTCGTTTTTCTTAAAAACCAAGTCGTTCGCGCGAGCAAATTCTATTATAGATTTTTTTTCGATTTATTCCTATGCATAGAATCACCATTTTTTTCGACTTTATCATGAAAGTGTCACATTTTTATATATTAGTTTTTTAAAACGTAGCTTTCGGAATATGAAATGAAGCTTTCCCAAAGTCATAAATTTATTTATATCGCATGAGAAAGGAGAAAAAAAAAAAACAGAAACAATATTTCTGTGCTCATATACCTGTGTTAATATCTTTCACACGATATTTTTGTTTCTCATAGAATGAAAATTGAAATATCTGTTAAACTAATAATTCTTCGACACACGTGCATTTTTCTACACAGATTATTTTATCATTATAGAGTTTTTATAGAGATTGTATATATTTAAATATATTGATGAATCTCGATCAGAAAATATATATCATTTTGTTTAAACAAGCGAAATTTTTCATATCTCCGAAAGAACAACGGTGATATTCAGGGTGGTAATAGTCCACCCTGTGCAACAATACATCGCGTTGAAATAAACGACCACGTTATGGGCGCGTATGGTGGAGACGAAAAATTCACCTTTTCACGGCAACGTGTTAACGAAGCAAAATCCAGCCACTTTAATGCGACTCCAAAGAAAAGAGCGTGGCAACCGAATAAACAGACGGAAGGAAAGAATGAAAAACAAAGTGAAAATGAAAATTCAGTTAAACGTCGACCGTGGCTAGCGAGTTTCTAACGGGGAAATTTCTGCAGAAGAGAAGGGGAGACTTCGAGAAATCTTGAATCCGCGAATGCATTGTGCTCGTTCTCGTCGACTGGCGGCTGTCGGTGGATACGGGACAGAAGAATAGAGCCGGGAGATGAAGAAGAAGAAGAAGAAAAAAAAGAAGAAGAAGAAGAAGGGTGGAGTCTAGCGAAGGGGCTTTTGAAAAATTATTTTCCGCGTCGACGGTTTCTCGCGGATTTCCCCCGTCCCGGCGGCAGCTTCGCTCCTCTATCCCATAATTGGATGGGCCGACTTCCCTTTGCGCCGTGACCGACGTTGCGAGGGACCACGTTCGGCCCGATTCTCGCTGACAGTTAACCGATAATCACGCCGGCTGCCTTGGAATTCATTAAGATCGTTATCGGATGCACCTTACGACTTTAATTACCACCGACGGTTTCCTACTTTGTTCGCTAGGCCCCTAGACCTGGTAATTAGCCGCTTAGAAGGCGATCGTTCAGCGGAAACGTTCACGTCCTCCCCTGGTGGATCGCCTTTTGATCAACTACTCCGCATATTTCACGCCCGGCGACCACCGCTTCTCCGTCTTCTGTCGCGAGCGTTCACGACTGCGCTCGTAAAGATTTTTAATCGGAAACCGGTCGAATTGCCAAGATAATTGGATTCCAGTTTATTGTATGGAGATAGTGGAAATTGTATTTAATTACAAAGCGATGCAAGAATTCTTATATTATAATTCTAATAACATTTGTATTATATTACATATTTATATTTATATGATAATTATAATAATATATTAAGAAAGTTGTAAGAATTCTTGTGCCCCTTCCATCAAATTCTTTCCATGTTTATATAATTACGGAGATTATAAATATGGAGGCCATTTTGTCCAGATTTCGAGCAAGAAAGGCATAACAAGCAAAAGTTTATAAAAGATTTATAAAGACTGTACGACAATTAATTTATCTAAGTTCTTTTTCTTTTTCTAAATTTTTGTTCAGAACTCGGAAATTTTTCAAATAAGATTATCAGAACTTAGAGCCTGAAAAAGAGAGTGGAAAAAAGGGAGGTTGTAAATATCTCTTATCATAAGTTTTGTGCTGATTATCAGTATGAACAAGTGCGTGATGATAAAATGAAAAGATATTGTTTTGAATCATGTTACGATTTTCTTCTCAGTCTTCGATTAAAATTATTATAACGCGTTACACCGTTGCATTATAAGGATTAAAAGCGTTGAAAGCATTATGTACAATTTGTATTTATTAATCTTCAGTGAATGAACTGAAATAGAAAATTGAAATGCGGGATTACAGTTTCTTTTCAATCGATATTACAATTCAAAGTGTTAATAAAGTAATATTTAAACTATATTAAAAAACGTATTGTTTCGAGTTGAGCCCGATATAA